ATATATATATATATGAGTTCAGCATAAACAATTATTGAAGATAATATTTTGAATTACTACAATTTCAATATTTAAATATTATTAAAAATACAGTATTTATAATAATTTTATCATCAAAGTAAAAATAAATTCACTTTATTTTTAAAAATAAAATAAATAATAACTACATTCAATGTATATCCTAACACACATCCTTTCTGGACTGCTTTAAGTAGACATAAATTCAAGAGTTAGAAAAAACCTATAGGTATCATTAAAATTAGCAAAAAAAATTAAAAAAAAAAAATTTAAAAATATTTATTAAATGGAAGATTTACATAAATAACACTTAATTTCTCTGTATCTACACATCCAACATGTAAACTTCAATTTTACCACCTTCGCTAATCATACAAATTAAGTATTTCATCTATTAAAAGCTAAAAATAGATATTTCTGGTGTGATGTGAAAGATTTGGGCGGCAAAATTAATTATAAAAGTTTAAATGTAAATTATGTGAACATAAATATAATAAGATTATCATGATAAGCCATTTTTTTCCCCCTTTCCCTAAATATTTAAATGTCCTCCAGCCAGTTCGTGACTAATAAATACATCCACGTAGCTGGAAAGCAAGCCTTACAGAAACGGAAATAAAAAAACATATAATTTGACCAGACGTGGCTAATCCTGAAGCCGTTCAAATGGATAGCTCTACCTTTTATTAAAAATTAATATAACAAGCATCCTACTCCTTTGTATTCATTAAACTAGAACCCAGCCAAATTGTTTTAGTTGGGCCGTCAAATCTTTGCAAATACATGTTGTATTTTTATATTACTGTAGAAATCAGGTTTATAATTCCATTATGAATGGTGCAATAAAGTGCTTTTAAAGAAGAAAATATAATGTGTGACATAGTCCGAATGCGACGATCATATTGCCGTGTATCACTCGGTGTCTCATTGAGATCGCTCAATGTATGCCATGCAAAAAATATAGTCCATCATATATTAAATTATGATTATTTTTTTGGTGGCAAACAATCATGAATTACTTATTATTTATGAGGCAGCCTCCCTCTGACCATTCGTATATTTTTATTATATTTTTAGAAATACGTGTGCGCGTCTTGATTAATAGATCACACTATACGGACCCAACCGCCACGCAGACGCAATAAGTGTCTCTTTCTCATTATGGTTTGTGGAATATAAAAAAAAGTGGGAGCTATTATTACTTATTTCATTTCATTTCATTTTTTCAAAACCATTATTTAAGATTTTAAATTTCTCTACATATATTCCAATATTAATTATTTTTACTATTCAATGTAACAATTAATCCTTTAAACTTTTGTTTTTATTATCTTTTTTTCAAGCAAAATTATATAAAAAATAGAGGATGTGACTTAAAATAATTAAGGAATTAAAGTTAATGTTATTTTTAATTGAACCGTATCCATTATGACCTTAAAGTGTTCCTATAATTTATAATTTTTTTTTAGCTTTTGAAATTGTATAAATTCCAAGCAAATTTATACCAGAAAAATTAACAAGTATGCAGGACTGATTACATTTAGGGGTTATAGAGAGGTTATGGGGGTTACATCTCTGTTATATCTATGTAATATTCATATAACTTCTATGTAACCTTCCTATAAACGTGCTCGTTACGTACGCAAAATTTTCTCAAATTTATACTACAAATAAATTTCAATCTGACCAGATTCATTGTTTATATCGCTTGATTAAAAAATAGTAGAAATATATATCTCGATGCCACCGCGAGAAATATGATTAAAAGACGATGTTATTTAAATCAAACTTAAAAATGAGTTCCCATTAAAAAACTCAAATTTAAAATAAAAAAGCTTAATGAGCTGGAGGAACTTCAAGCATTGGCAAGCAAATCAAAAGAGTAGAGAGAGAGAGAGAGGGAATAATTACAAGGATGCCGTTGGAGAAGCGAACGAGGACGGTGGAAACGAGGGCATAAGCGGCGAGCTCGGTGGCGCCGACGTGGCCGATGAAGGCTTGGCTGATGACGGTGACGCCGAAGGTGGAGAATCGGGTGCAGATAGAAGGTCCGGCAACCTTCCATAGCTTTTTGTTCTCTTCCCACAAACGTCTGCTCAGCTTGATTTCTTCATCCCCTGCTTCTTCTCTACTGGCCCGCTTATCCGCTATTAACTTCTCCTGCAATCCGCTTTCCTCCATCTCTCTCTCTCTCTCTCTCTCTGTCTCGGGCGCGGGCGCGGGCGCGGGCGCGGGCGCTTGTTAGCTTTTTCTTGTGCAGTGGTTTATCAGATCACGTGACCAGGAAAACAATTGTTAAATAGGGATGAGGAGAAGAAATGACTGGAATGCCCCCTAAAATTTGCAATAATATATACTGAATTTAATTGAAAAAAAAAAGACAGGGGATAGAGATTGTCAAATTAAATATTACGTAAACGACGTTTGGACCATGCTATTTATACAGTTGTGTGGGATCGTCAGAAAATCTGATCTTTGATCGAAATATTTTCTCTCAAGTTAAGTATGAATAATGTATTAATAGACCGTATAATGACTTGGTGTATTTGATGATTAATTTAAACTCAACTTGATCGATACTTGATAAAATTTTGTTCAATTAATGAATAAATAAAATTGAACATTTTTTTTAAATGGAAGGTTAAATGAATCTTATTAGAATTGTTTTATATATGTGTACATATAAAATGTGTTAGCATTAATTCTGAGAAGAAGCAACGGTCCGGAAGAAACGAGTGTGACAAAGGATAGTTTGCTGATGGAAGACTATGAGATCTGCTTATTCAATCGGGTGAAGTTGTCTTAATCAAGCAAATAAGGCCAAAGCTGACTGAATCATGGGACGAACGAAAGAGGACTAGAGGACACTAGAACGAGTCACTTAGTCAGAAATGATACAAAAGAGTATTCGAGCCAACTGTCACAAGAAAGTTGATCCAAGAGAAGATCTAGTTCGTAAGTATCTCCAACTATTACAAGGATACCCAGAGGCTCCGATCAAAAGTCAATGATCAACAAGCGGGCTATACATTTCAATTGGTGATACTTATGAAATACTAAGCATAGCCGACCGAGCAACTCTCAGCTAACCAAACTGATCTTGCAACCTGAAGCCAATTAAGCTTAGCCGATCGAGCTAGAGAACAACTGAGAGATAGGCTCATACATGTGAAATATCTGAAATACTATGTACATCCCCCTTTAAAATAACAAAAAAAATATAAAGTTATCATATTGTACATTCTCCCATATAAATATAGAGATTATTTCATGAATAAAACACGATATATTACTATTCATTATTGTTCACCCCTTTTTTCTTTATAACTCTTTCTTACTACTGAATTACACTAATATTGTGTGCGCTTCATGGACAATTCATAATTCAATATCTTAAAAGGTGCAGTGAGGGTAGATCATATCACAGACAAGAAAAAAAAGCAGCTCATGAAGAAAAAATACACAACATAGAGACAAGTAACATGGAGCATACTAGAGAGTTTGTGAACCAAAAGATCCATGCATGAATTGAAGGATTAAATGTTGGATAGCATTTGAGATGCATTGTCTCGGGGAAGAAAGCAACATCCTCAAATAGAAAAGCCGGTGCATAACGATGGAAGAGTCCTCTAGAAAGAGAAGTTGACTCCCAATACTTTAATAGTGTTGGGCCAACATTGATGTGCTAACATTGGTTTTAGCATACCGAGCCACCCCGAATGCCCAAAAATGTGTTTTCTCATCACATCTTTGAGACCGAGCCCTCAGAACTTTGAATTTTGACATCGGAGTCTTATAAGAGCAGAACCAATCTAACAGACCACAAATTCTCGTGTGAGTCAATTGTGTTATTGTTGAGGATCACTAACACGCTGAAATGTTGTCATTTTTTACCACACTAAGAGAATTGGCCCTTCAATAATTCAATGCATTACCGTCGAGTGTGATTGTATTGTTTGCTGATTTTGAGAGAATATTTGTGGCGTAATTAACTAGCACCTAAAAGCATTGAAAACTCACACGCTCTCCTATAGATCAAATAGAGATAGGGATAGAGCGAGAGCTTTTGCTCGTTCATCACACGCTTCTAGAAGAAGATGTTGAAAATGGGGAATATGGAACCTGCAGTAGGTCATGCTACCCTACCCCAAGGGATGAAGGAAGGACCTTTTCAGTACACATTGGGACTGTAATGACTAAAGATGTTGGTCGAACTATTGACCTTTTCAGTACACATTTGGACTGTAATGACTAAAGATGTTGGTCGAACTATTGGAGCTGGCTAACAATCACATATCAATAAAAAAAAAAACATACTCTAATCTCATTTCCTCTAGAGTAGTGTCCTCCACCCATCGCCAGCGGAAGAGGCCCCACTAAGGCGAAGGGTGTACATCGAGGCCTGATTCATGTCTTTCCACCAGCTCTTACAACAAAGACACCCAGTCACCCCGAAACTATAGGGCAGCCGACAGAACATACAATCGAGGGAGTAGAGATCAAAGAATTAAGTATGGACTAGAGAACTTGCTCCAAATAAAGATTTATGCCCTATTTCAGAACATTCATTCACTTTAGAACAATAATAATGAAAAATAAACTGTCTCCCTCTTTATTTTAGTTTAATGCGCACTATTTGATAATTGGAATTGTCAAGACTAGCTGCTAAAACAAGAAGTTTCATCGCACTCATAATCAATTTCTAGTTTTAAGGAATTTTTTGGCTATTTGGCTCAAACTACAAACACTATTTTGCCCTAAATTAAATACTTGTCATGCAGTATGGGAAACTAATAAAATATTGGCATGCGAAGGAGCCATGGTGTGTGGGGTTTGGAAATGCTGTGGAGATTGCCCTGATGGCTGTATCGGAAAGTTGCAATATTAAGATCTCAAGTAGACAAAAGGACAAAGGTGTCGACAATGGAGTTCGGAGATGGAGACAAAACTGAGCTTAAATTATTTCTGATTTGATGATTTTCTTAAATCCCCAACGTTAAAAAAAGAGTTATTTGCACTCCTTCTCTTCCAACAAAATATTGATGTGTTATAACAAAAGAGAGAAAAAGAATAATAATATTATATAATTATAAATATAATCAGTTCTTTTTATGTCAAAACATGATATCAACACCTATTAAAATTTCTTCAAATTTTGAATGTGATGAGATGTAAAAAAAGGAAGGGTGGGGCATTTGGTGGTATTTAATTACATAACAACCAATTCATAATACATAAGAATTGAGTGGAATTTATGCAAATCTTCCAAAAAAATATATATATATTTTCCCATAAAGTCAACATAAAAAATTAATTTGTTTCAATCAAGAAAGAATTATATAGCATTATTTATTTCTCGCCCTAAAATCATTTTCTTGTAATATTAATGCATGGATGACACGAATACTACGTGTGCGGAATTATGTTCGTTTCTTCAGAAGTTCGCTAGCAAAGCTCAAAGTACCTCAAATCATTGTAACGTTTAAATCTATGTCCACTAACAATGTAATATTTAAAATTGTTAATGGCAAGTTATTCAAATTTAATGTGCATTTACATAATTTTTATAAATTCTTATAATAAATAATATCTTAGCAGTCTAAACAAAGATCATAAACATCATTCAATGCAATTTAATGTTTTTCACACACACACACACACACAGATATATACATACATATATATATATATACATTCTGATTTTAGAAATATTGATTTGAAAAATAAAATCTCCTAAATTAAAATATTATTTATTAAATTATAATAATATTAGTGTCACATCCTTATATAATTTCTATGATAAAATACCAGTTCAAACCTAAAATTTTTTTTAATTATTGAACCTTTTCAATTTCATGTCCAACAATATTCTAAATCTTAATTTTTGTAACCTTATTGTATTATTACATACCTGAAAGAATAAATATTCAAATACTTGCATCTACGAAGTAATCTAAACTTTGCTTAGTTAACTTCGTCTTTAGTAAGTGCATTTAATATTAATTTCACTTGGTATATATATATATATTTGCTATATATATATATATATATATATATATGTTAATTGCATAATGAATCTTGAACCAGATTTCTCATCCAAAAATCTCCAACCAAAAATTTGTCAAAAGCCATCATCACCAATGGCTGAAACATATATTTTTAGTTGCTCAAACCCTGAATAACTTCTGCAGTATAACTCACACAACAAAAACATTAGTGATTAAACTTATTATCCGTTTGGTACAATGTCGAGACAGCGGTGTGGCTCACAAACCACATCTCTGTCATTTGTTTAATGCAACGCCTCAAGATACAAATTCTCTCGTCTTAGCACGGAGGCTGTGTTCCGCATTTTGGTTCATTATTTTACCCTTCGTCTCTCTGGCTCTCATTTTCGGCTTTCGTATCAAAGTCCTATTTCTCGAGCTCTTCTCTGACCATGAAGGTTAGGGATCCAACGTGAGGTTTTCTTTTTTCTTCATCTTCCCTTATTTTGTTGTGTTTGCTCCAATCTCTTTATGTTATCTCTTTCTGCAATGATATTTATGTAAAATATCGCATAATTTGTTGCAGCATTTTTTTTTTTGGTTATCATGTATTTTATCCTATTTGGATGGCCTCCTGGGCAATCTTTAGTGTAATATAATTTTTTTGTATGTTCTTTTCTATTTGGAGGTCTATGATGGTAAATATGTCCTTAGAGGTTCTTCTCGTTGACATTATTTTGCTATAGTTGTTAAATATATCAATATGGTAACCAAGATCACTTTTTGTTTCAATCATGTCTTTTGGGAAGGGCCTTTGGGCTAATATGTTTCTGTGATATATACCCAGTTGAAAGCAAACAAGACAATTTTTTACAATCATACGAATGTATGTGTTCTTCTAGAGGGCCCTTGTTCTGATATGTTTGTAATATATACAAGCTCGATATTACGAGATTTAAAAACAACCAAGATATCCTTTTTTTTAAGGCCTTATATCTTCTTATAATGATAATCATTCGTTAGTTTATATTTACTCCAAGACATCACATTTTTATAAATTTTTATCTATATATTTATTTTATTCTTATTAGTTATATTTTCCTATAACTATATCATTAGACTTTAAATGTAAGCTAATTTTATGTTAGTAATTTTTAATATTTAGTAAATATGAACTCAAGGACATCTGATGCTTCTAGAATCTTATGCTGTGGTTGTTAATTTAGTGTTGTCTACTTACATCAAAAAGAGAAACAGTTTTAGTAGAATTTTACAGATGTCTAAAAAATAGACTAGGAGAAGACCGACTCATCTATGCCAATTGATCAACTCGATAATTCTACCTAAAATAGTGACCACATTTGTAAAATATCATTAGAGAAAAAATTATCCCTAATAATTGATCTCTCTGGATTTTAAAAATAAAATTGTGATAATATTACTTACTATTTTTTTATTTTTATTTTTTATTTTGATTATTGTGTTACTACTAAGTGAAATGTATATATTAGATGTAATATTTAAACTCGTGATTTTCTTAGGATTCTAAACATAATTCCTATTTTCTTTTATAAAATATTAAGCCTCAAAATTATTATCTTACAAACATCACAACAATAAATAGACAAAATTAATTTTTTTTCAAAAACTGTTGCAGCACAACTACCGCACAACTGAACTAAACAAAAAAACACAATTTCATGGGCAGTGACGGATCAAACACCTAAGCTGAATATCATGCCCTCTGAAAATTTTTTTTGTTTCAAAGCCTACTTGCTATTATTGGTATTTTTTTTTCAAAGCCAAAAATAAAAGTGAAGGATCAAACCAAGAGTAACTAAATATATTAAAATCTAAGGCAGCTTTACACAACATATCAATCTTGGAACTTCTTCATCATACATGATCATCAAAACGAACCATATATGCATTCATCAAACCCTATACCTTACTTTCAAAAATTCAACATGATGCTTGTCCAAGTCATTTTAAAATGTTTTAAATATGGAGTTATTAAAATAATAAAATAAAAGACAAAAAAAAATCATGCTTCCGAATATTGAATTGAGTTATCAGTTAAGGAAGCATGAAGATTGTCAATTTGTCGGCAAGTTAAAAAAAATGATATAAAACAAAAAGTTCTAATACACCTTCACCAACTTGAATGCATTCTTTTGGCATGCTCATTGGTCACCAGGGATGCTCTTGATGATGTCAGAATCACCTGAAAAGCACAAGGCAATTTAAAATCCAAAAATAAAATCCACAAAATACAATTAATCTGATAAAATAAAAATCATAAATTGTTTTATGCCACAGAGGTACTAACCTGGATCAATGATGCTGAGGCAGCACACCCGGAAATATTTGCCGCAAGCAGTACCCAGATCAACATTATCTGTTTTTGATTAATCTAATTTTACATGATGGAAAGAGCTGAAAGCATATAGTTTTCTATAAAATAACAAGAAACAGTTCGCTGTCTTAAAACATGCCTTCCAACTAATTAATCCTCATTAATTCATACTGAATGTAATGTGAGATGTTAAATCCACTGCATAAAACTTTCTGCATATTTTAAAGCTGTGCTTCTTCTGTCCACCCCTATTCCTTGATGGTAATCAATAATACCCACTTATTTAAAGGAAACTTTACATACCTAGCACAGAATTCATAGTTATTTACATATCTCACTTCTAAACACCCATATTTACATATATAGCATTTTGGTGCTTTAAAACTACACATGAAAAGGTGTATTTCACTTTTAAAAAGTGGTAATTGTGCTATTTATTATATGATATTAAAGATTTGAGTGCTACATGTTAATATGAAAGTTTAGGTGTAAGATATGTAAACACAATAGAATTGTGTGCTATGTATGCGAATGCTCCTTATTTTAAACTGTGTAATTAAGATGCAAGAATTCAGAATAAAAAGAGTTCAGTAAAGCTCACTTCCGTTAAAATGGTGGACTCCAACCTTGCCCAACATTGCATAGTACTCAATTTCAGATTTACGAAGAGGGGGGCAGTTGTTTGCTATGATCACCAACTTACCTAGAGAATAAACACATGCGAAAGAGCTTTGCCAATTTATTCATATATTGTTGAAAAAGACATTAATATCAAGCATTGATAAAGAAAAAATAAATAAATAATCTCAATGAAGGCAGCATTGATTGATCTGGCTCAAAACACCCTAATATGGGTAACCATCAGGTTCAGAAAGTTTTAAAAAAAAAATTATGGGCCCATTTGCATCAGTTTTATTTATTAATTTTTTGATGTTTTTTTTTATTTTCTATTTTTAAAAATAAATCTTATTTTTAAAAACAGCCATTGCAACCAAATATATTTTATTCCAAATAAATACATAAACAAAATGATAATAATAATAATAATAAACAAAAAAAAAAGTGATCTCAAACATTGTAAATAAGAGAAGGACCAAAAGGCCTAAAATAAATATTTGAAAGGAAGCGACATTCATGTATTATAACACCAATCACTCTCTATTTCGTACCATTCAAATACACAAATATCATTTCTTAATGCATAAATAAAAAATCTTCCATGGGAGAGATTCAAAGATTATGCATACCATGCAATTGAAAAAAAATGAAAAAATGCAGTTCCCACAAAGCACATGTAAAAAGACTTTCCTTAAAAAGGCGAAAAAAAAAACAAGACCTCAAGAAATTACTCAGACTTACATCCATTTGACAATTATATATGAATAGAAAAGCATGAAAAAGCAATTTAGGAAAATATTTAATTATCATTAATTTGGTTATCGATGATACACACACTATCAATAATTAATTTTATAATTGAATGGATAAGGTTTTATCTCGTTGAAGGCACGATTGGCTTTTTTAACGGAAGTATCCTTCAACTCTTAAAGTTCAAATAAGTCTTTAAAATCATATTTCAAGAGAAGCGAAACCTCTGATTCAAAGATTCAAAGATTCAAAATTCAAATCTAATCATCCAAAACAATTAGACATAATCGTAAGGATATCAAGCAAGAAGCATGGAACTTGAAAAAAAATTGAAAATATAAGTCATGCTGTATTCTTAATTTTTCATGTTCTTTTCAATAATGGTATTTCTTTTATGCATCTATTTTCTTCATTGTCCATCTGCTCTCTATAGAAATGTTTTTCTGTTCATATTCTAGAATCCTTAGTTATTCTTTCTAATACTTTTATTCATAATTCTGGATTTTTGTTTTCAAAAGATGAATGCTTGTAGAAATATATTCCCCCTAAAAATATGAAATCTTCTCATATGCACTTCAGTTTGTAGGTATCATTTCAACTTTGCAACCTTATAAGATGATATGCTAATCCATTACACGGGAATTGCAAGGTCATTTGTATAAAAATATACATAATTTCTCACCAACAGTTAAACCAATGTCAATGCATCTCAACTCTCAAGCACAAAAATAGCTTAGTAAAAAAAAATGGGGATAGCTTAATAAAAAGTTGATTAAAAAAAAAAGCAAGAAATACCACTATCCATGTACCCCATACTGCCCTTAACAAGAAATGAAAAATGAGCAACCATGGACAGTAACCATTCAAAATATTTTAACGCCTCAAGATATTATAAAATGCTTGATATTAAGTATAAACAAGTAATATAAATAAGAGTTGCGTTTATAATATTTTTATAACAAATAAACAATAATTAGAAAAATAAAGATGTTAAATAAAAAAGCATGAAAGCAAATGAATGATTGTAATCAAAAGGTACACAAATACATTTTTAAAAAAATATTTTTGCCCTTTAAATTTTATTTTGAATTATTTGTAGTAGAAACTTTTTCGTCATATTAATGAAATTCAAACATGCAAAAAATATATATCTAAGTACTTGCCATTTGTGTTTGTGGAACATATATTTTTATTAGTAATAATACAATGACACTACCATCCAGTTAGAATTAAAATTTATATACATCTTTCACCAAGCATCATAAATTTTGAATAAATAATAAAAGGCAACTCACTCTCTCTCTCTCTTCAAGATTATTTATGGGTGGGTAAGAAATGTCAATGAATGGTGTTGTAACACAAAATAATAGTAAAAGTGCAAAAGCTTATCAAGCAGAATAGCACAAGAAGTTTGACTCCTGCTGTCTTCCAAAATATGCAAGTATTGTGAATTCTCTTACATTTATAAAATAACGAAGTCAATATGTATAAAACTTGAAGATAATAATTTCTTAATTAGATATGAATATATCAAGAAAAGATGGCAATGCTTGTTCGGACACGATCTCTATAGAGTAGAGAAGATGTCAAAAGAGAGACTTACAACTTAGTCCAATGTGACTAAGAATGCCCAAAACTATCTTTTCTATCAGGTAGAGAAGGAAAGCTTATATTCTGCCAGAGTAAAAAAAAGCAAGCTAATCACCTAAATGCTCATGCAAAAAGTGTCAGTAGTATGTGAAATGTGGCAAAAGTAGACACCCTAAAAGAGGCTAAATGACACTAGTCTATGTTAGACATGAGTGTTTCTAAGTTATCTACCCTAAAAGGATCCTAGGCTAGGAAAATTGGTTTTGTTCTCTAATGTGTCCAAGTTAAACAGATAATCAAAAAAATTCTCCTAAGTGTCCTACTTGCTTGTGTGTTTGGTGTGAACCTAGAGCTAATCGCCTGTACACTACATTTCCTGTCATTCGCTCTCTCTGCAAACAGCACAAAACACAAAGCATGATTTTATAATTTTAGGTCAACCTTTAAATGGGTTCACCAAATCTAAAATCATAAACTTATGACCAAGAGGGAAATGTGCATAGTAAAAAAAGTAATGGATTCATATAACCTACATTTATATAATAAACATAAAGTTTAAGTTTATGATTTCAAATTAACCCTTAAATGAATTAACCAAATCTTAAATCATAAACTTATAAATATAAAAAATAGACACAATAAAAAAGAGCAAACACATTAACATATATATCAGTGTCAAATAATAATAATGAATGCAAATGCACATATAAACAACTCCATGTTATCAACCCTAAAAGGATCCTAGGCTAGAAGCCTGATTTTGTTCTCCAATGCGTCCAAGTCAAACAGATAATCAATTAAGGGTCTGTTTGGGGCAGTTGCAACTTATCCAGCTTATTTAGATAAACAACTTATCCTAATAATCTACTGATCAGCAGCTTATCCTGATAAACTGACAGGCTGTTTGGTTTGTGAGTTTGTAAAACAGCTGATTATGGATAAATGATCATTCTGCCCCTGTTTTGGATAAACGTTTGTAAAACAACTGATTATGGATAAATGATCATTTTGCCCCTGTTTTGGATAAATATTTTCCTATAATTTTGACTGAACTACATATGTCGCACTATAAACTTTTCAATCCAAACTCAACAAAATTTTGTTCACAAATTTTAACAAAACCACCCAAATGATCATGCCATTTGTATGGCTGCTTTCTAAAAACTAAAAGGAAAAAAAAAATCACAATAGATAACGAAAATAGCACGACGAACAAGAAGAAAAAGAAGCAAATTCTCACCTGAATAACGATTTCCAGAGCCCTATAAACTCCATCATAGCAATACCATGCTGAATCTGGCAAGCTCTCAACCTCCCAAATAATTGTCCATCAACCTCCCAACCTTCTTCATCTTCATCAAAGGATCCCCCTCCTCCTCGTTTACAAAAAATCTCACCAATCTCATAACAAATTTCACATCATAAACCCCATCATCATGCCCTGAAACTAACAAATCATCCAATTCTGCCTTATCAAACATTGATCCTATCAATCTATCAAGTTTCTCCCGGCATTCTTTGCTCTGCCCTAGCCTTGAAACTAATCTCAGAATCCATAACAAAACCCTACAACTGAAAACCTTCCTCCCGATCTTCAAAACACCATAAACCGCTGTCTGCAAGCCCCTCATAATCCTGATTGTTTCCATAACCTCTCTGATCCGCTGATTTTAAATAATACTGAGGCTTCCGTTTTCACATTCATAAGCTCCGAGCTCTTTCACCGTTTTCTCAATCATGTTCGGTGCAAAAATTAGAAGGTTTGAGAACCGCCATTCTATAATCGAGCTAGTTTCATTGTTCCTAGTTAGATCTGAATTCGTTAGGCTTTAAGTTGTGAGATTTTCTACCCAATTTCAATCATAACTTAATTTTTCGAAAAACAACTCATAACCAGAATTAAAATAATAAAATCCATACCTTAATAAAATATTTGCATTTAATATCTGGTGGTTATAGCATCAACAAGTATTTAATATTAACCAACTCAAATAAAATCAATTTGAAAACTTAACAATTAAGGTGAACTTTTTGAATATGAAAACCATCATATTACACTTTATCTTCTTCTCTTTGGACATTCACTCATTGCACAGAAGGGGGGATCCAGCCTGTGAAGATCATTGTCGATAAAGAGTGAATCTGTATTTCGTATTGATTAGCCTTAACGAATCTTTTAACATGCATCATATAAGGACTTGTATAACCATCTTCACATCTCACATTTCACAGTTAGTGTCTCACTTATAACAATACTTAAATGAATTTTCCCCGTCGAACATAAGTCCTAACTTTTAAAAATTTGTTCAACTCAAAAATAATCATTATGTCACTTTCAAGATATAAAGTACAACTATAAGATAAGTAATCAATGGGTCGCAGTGTTAGTGCTTCCTCTTTTTTTTTTTTTTTTGGGTTTTGTTAATAAATATTTTAAATTTAAGCTATCTCATTCAAAATTCCACATAACAGTTTTGATATCTACTATTGTATTACATAGAAAAAAATAACCATTGTTTTAATCAAGAATTTTTATTTCTAAGATGTAATTAACTAAAAATGTTTGCCTCTTTAGAGATAATAGATCTCAAGGCTAAAATAAACCATCTTTGTTTAAGGCAGGGAAAAACTAGTTTACGCTCCCACGGAGTAGTGAAACAATTTCGATATTAGGGGATTGAATCCATTGTGTGGTATCTTCATCTCTTGGGGAAATATACTATTCGTTGATATCGTATTCGATCA